GTAAAGAAGAAGAAGTGTATTTGAGAGAATAAAACAAGGGAGTGGCCCAGCAACCATTGCTAAAAAGATTAATATGGCTAGAAAGGAGCTAGGTCCTAATCATCAGGACAATGGAAGACCCCAAAGGCATTTCAGAGATCTTTGAAGTCTCCCCTCCCATCACAGGCTCAGAGCTCTAGGAGGGCAGGATGGTTCTGGGGGTGGGCCTCAGGCATTCCTCATGGGCTCAATACCCAGAACCACCTCAGGTGTCTCCTCCCCAAATTATGGCACAAAGCTCCTTGACCATCCCTGCTATGGCTCAAGTTGCCCCAGGTGTGGCTCAACCCTCTGTTTCAGAAGATATCAATGGATAACGTGTTTTCATCTCACACAGGGGACTTTGGTCTTTGGATTTTTAGTTGCGGCTGGAATAGATTAAGACTTTGGGGCTATGGAGATGGAATGAATGTATTTGTATGGGAGAAACATGTGAGTTTTGGGGGTCCGGGGGCAGAATGGTATGGTTTGAATGTTTGTCACCTCCAAAACACATGATGAAACTTCACCCCCATTGTAAGAGTATTAAAAGGGTGAAAAATCCAACTATGGTATTTCAGAAGTGGGACTTTTGGCAGGTAATTACATGAGGTCATGAGGGTAGGACATTAGTGGCTTTATAAGAAGAGAGGCCTGAACAAGCATGCTCATGTCCACTCACCATGTGATGCCCTGCACTGCCTCTGGACTCTGCAGAGTCCCCACTAGCAAAAGAGTCCTCACTAGATGTGGCCCCTCGACCTTGGACTTCCTAGCCTCCAGAACTGTAAGAAATAAATTTCTTTTCTTTGTAAATTTCTAAGTCTCAGATATAGCAACAGAAAGGGGACTAAGACATAATGCCCAGAAGTCGAATTGCTGAATCGTGGTCATTCTATTTTTAATTTTGGGGGCACCCTTCATACTGTTTTCTGCAATGGTTGTACCAATTTATATTGCCACCAACAACGTACAAGCATTCTCTTTTCTCCACATTTTCACCAAGACTTATCTTTTGACCTTTTTATAATAGCCATCCTAACAGGTGCAAGGAACATCTCATGGTTTTGTTTGCATTTCCCTGATGATTAGTGATGTTGAGCACCTTTTCATATACCTATTGGCCATTTGTATGTCTTTGTTCATCGAAAAAAAAGTCACACTCTGTAAAGTAATTTTAAAGAGATTTACTTTGAGCCAAATTTGAGGACCATGACCAGAGCCATGCCCAAGAAGCCTTGAGCAAGTGGACTTTCTGTAGCTGGGTTACAGTTTGGTTTTATACATTTCAGGGAGACAGGGGTTACAGGTAAAGACATAAATCAATACGTGGGAGGCATACATTGGTTTGGCCTGAAAAGGTAGGCCATCTCCAAGCCGGGGGGGGGCGGGGAGGGACGGGGCTTACAGGTTATAGGTGGGTTTAAATGTTCTTTGACTTGTAATTGGTTAAAGACATGAAGCTTTGTCTAAAGGCTTGGAATGTTTTAAGATAAGGAGCTGTTTATCAGAGACAAGCCACCGGACATAGATTTGTTGTGTAAATTGAGGACCTGCAGGCTTGTCTTGCAAACCCTTAGGCCCGTTAATGGGTTACAAAAGATGTCGCCAAGGAGGGAGGGGCATGATGAGGCACCTCTGACCTCCCTCCTCCTGGCAGGCAATTCAGTTTTAGGATATTCCTTTGGCCACGAGGGGGTCCATTCAGTTAGCTGCTGGGGGCAGGGGGGAAGGGGGCAGCGAGCCTTAAAATTTTATTTTAGTTCACATTTTCTTTGGAAATATGTCTATTTAGGTCCTTTACTTATTTTTCAATAGTTATTTGTTTTTGGCTATTGAATTGTATGAGTTCCTGGTACATTTTGCATTTTAACCCTTATCAGATATGTATATGGCTTGCAAATATTTTCTTTCATTCCGTGGCTGCTTTCAATTTTGTTATTCCCTTTGCTCTGCAGAAACATTTTAATTTGATGTAATCCTACTTGTTTATTTTTGCTTTTTCTGTGCTTTTGGTTTCATATCTAAAAAAATCATTGCCAACACCAATATCATGGAGCTGTTTTCCTATGTTTTTTTCTAGGTGTTTTGCAATTTCAGGTGTTACATGTAAGTCTTTAATCCGTTTTGAGTTGATTTTTGTGTATGATGCAAGATAATGATCCAATTTTCGTTTTTGCATATGAATATCTAGTTTTTCCACACCAGTTTTTGAAGAGACTATCCTTTCTCCATTATGCATTCTTGGCAAAAGATTAGTTGACTTGTTGAAGATTAGTTGACTGTATACAGTCACGGGGTTATTTCTGGTATTTTTATGCTGTTTGATTAGTCTATATGTCTGTTTTCATACCAGTACTTCATTGGTGAGGTCTACCTCTGGAAATATTTAAATATAAAAATTCACTGGTCACTGGATGTTTGAAAAATTCACCAAGAAACTCAATAAAGATGCTTTTTTTGGGGCAAAGAATTTCTGAATTTTTCTTCAAGTTTTCCCCTTCTCGGGTAAACTGTGACACATCTATTCCTGGAGAATCATTTGTGTCACAAAAATATCAAATTTATTTTTATAGAGAGGGTCTTCATTCAGTTTCTTACGTCTCTGTGGTTAGTTAACACACGCACTCTCTCTCTCCCCCCTTCCCCCACCCTAGTGATTTACCTATAATTCTCCCCACAGCTCTTGAGTTACGGATCGACTTTACTTTTTTCTGATTTATGCCTACCTGCTTTCCATAAATGTATTGAAATTTTTTCTGGTTTCCTCAGTTGAATTCTTAAACCATTTTTTTTTTTTTTAAATATTGATGGATTCGGTTTCCTACACGTTTTAACCTTTTGTTTCTCACACAGTGGGCAGAAGGCACTGTGCGTCTCTAGGCGACCAACGTTGCTAGGATGTAGGGTCGCCGACGTGCCGCGGAGCACTCTGGGTAATGTAGTCCAGGACGCACCGTCCTCACGCGCACGCGCACTCTCAAGGCTCCCCCCACTTCAGATCGCGCTTTCTTGCCCTTTGTGCTTCGCAGCCAGGTGAGAGGTGAGTTCGCGGTGTGCGGGTGCGCGCGCACGCTCGCGCTGACTTCCCGGCCCAGTCCAGCCTGGCCCATCGGAACACGCGGGTCGGCCCGGGTCGCCCAGAGGCGCCGGCAGGGCGTGCTCGGCTGGGGTCCCCGAGGCCGGCGGGCGCGGGGGTCGCGCGGTCCTGGTCGGGGAGTCTGCGGTGCCGGAGTCTGCGGTGCCGGCTCTTCGGTGAGCTCGGTGACTGGGAGCGGCGGGCGTAACTACCGGGCGGCGGTTGGGGCCGCGGGGTCGCGGGCGGGGGAGGGGTGGTCGTGTCTGCGCGCAGGCTTCAGGCCCGGTGTCGCGAGACCGGGCGCCGGCGGGTCCTCCGATCGGGTGCGGTGCGACCGCGGGGCTCGCGTGGGAAGGGTACGAGGCGCTCCCGGGGGCCGGGCGTTGCGGCGGAGCTGTCTGCGCTCACTGAGGGGGTGGGTCCGGGCCGACAGGTCACGGTTTCTTTGGAGGTGTTTTGGGGTCCTGTCGGGTGGGTCAGTGACGGGAAGCTCTGGGTGGTCCGTGGAGGTGAGAGTTCGGGGCGTGAGTGAGCGGGGAGGGTCTGTGCGCCGGCTGAGGAGAGCCCTCCCTCCAGGGTTCTTGTGGTTCTTGGATGTTTCCTCCCGAATGGAATCTTTCAAAGGTCGTGCCTTCCCCACGTGATACAGGCATCCCTGGCTGTCTTGGCCGTGACGTGAGGGCAGGTCGGGTTGAAGGGCTGGACCCACGGCTGGACAGGATTAGTTGTGTGTCTGCAGATGGAGTCGCAGTCAGTGGTGAGGATGGCTGGACGCTGGGACTCGGCTACCCCTGCTTCAGGCTGGCTTCACCGGCTCAGCTCCACTTTTATCGAAAGAGCTTTTATAAGGGCTTTTCCACTTAAAAAACGAAACAAAACTTTTGACAATAGCTGGCGTGGCGTAGGGAACAGTGGCCTGAAGGCATCTCTGATTTTATACCAGCTCTACTACTCGGTTTGGACAGGCCACTCACAATTTCTGGGTCTCATGTTTTTCATCTGAAAATGAGTGAGTGAAAAGAAGTTATTTTCTTTCTTCCTTACCTCTGCTGCTCTTTGAGGTCATTACAACGTACTTGATCTTATTTTACTTATTTATTACTTGTTGGACTCAAACTGCTCCGCTTACCTGTTTTCTTGGGTTAAGGACTTTAACTTTTTAAGTATAAATGTATACTTTTTTCCATTATGATAAATTTAAAATATGTAGTCAATTTGGAGCATCTCAATAAACAGTTTAAAATAAATACCATGATCCCATTGACACTGTTAACATTTTGGTACATTTCTTTTATTCAATAAATGTATGTATGTTTTTAATGTATCTGACCCTTTTATATTTCCTTCCAAAAATTGAGAATATGCTGTATGTGCTGCTTAAAGCCATTTCAACATATCATCAACATCTCTCCTTAACTTGAAATATTTTGTCCCAAGTGGAGAGTTTAAATTTACCTGGGAGTTTTTTCAGCTGGCCCGTGTCTTGTGTCTATTCTTGGTCTATTTTGGTGACATCCGTTGTGTTTCGGGGACTGTATTTCACCTGTAGTGGAATATAAATGGGGACACTGGAGGAGGCCTTTGCCTGCTTCACCCTCCAGTATTGCAGAGGGAATGTGGTCACAAGCTCTGGTGGGCCCAGACTGCTACTTCCTGACTTTGTCATAAATGTTGGGCAAGTTGCTGAACCTCTTTATGCCTTATCACTTTTTCTGTAGTGGGTGCTGGTATGTTAAAAAGACAATATGGCATATAAAACGTCTGACACATAATAAATGTAAATAAGTTATTTTTTATTATTCTCTACTTTTCCTTAAAATTCCCTTAGAACTTGATGATGAGTGGAACTACAGGTGATGATGAAGGTTGTCCCTTCTTCTGAAGATAAATGTGAGAGCTGTCGCAGGGAGAGCTGCAGTGTTATTATGCAGGAAACTGCCGAGGTAAAAAACCAAAACAAAAACCAATGAAGTTAAAATGGGCCAAATTGTACACCAAAGGGCTTATTGCTAAGGGGTGTTGTG